CATCCATCCTCCCTTCAATGCATGTGTCCATCCATCCATCCTCCCTTCAATGCATGTGTCCATCCATCCATCCATCCTCCCTTCAATGCGTGTGTCCATCCATCCTCCCTTCAATGCGTGTCCATCCTCCCTTCAATGCATGTGTCCATCCATCCTCCCTTCAATGCATGTGTCCATCCAGCCATCCTCCCTTCAATGCATGTCCATCCATCCTCCCTTCAATGCATGTGTCCATCCATCCATCCTCCCTTCAATGCATGTGTCCATCCAGCCATCCTCCCTTCAATGCATGTGTCCATCCATCCTCCCTTCAATGCATGTGTCCATCCATCCATCCTCCCTTCAATGCGTGTCGATCAATCCATCCATCCTCCCTTCAATGCATGTGTCCATCCATCCATCCATCCTCCCTTCAATGCATGTATCCATCCATCCTCCCTTCAATGCATGTGTCCATCCATCCATCCATGCGTACTGCAATCAATCAATCAATCTATCAATCCTTCCATCCATTCTTCCATCCAATATCCCTCCCTGTATCCAGGTCCACACAAAGACAAGTACAAGTATATCTTGGGTTAGGATATCTTTATTTACCAGGTGATAACCCAGGTCCCTTTCAATATGTTAAAAACATTTTCACTCATATGCAAGAAACTCAAATAACGATTCTGGGTATAGATATAAATACTGACATGGAGAGGGTTGTATATAAATACTGCATTTTGTCTGTACAATATATTGACAGGTAGAAAAGTATATAAATAGAAATTCCACAGGTGCAAAAATATACAGATCTGGAAAATCAAAACAACAAATAATAACAATTTCCACATTTATCAATCATATATAGTTCCGGTATACTGAAAAAATTACAACAATGTCAGTATAATATAGATATCTTTAGTTACATACATGTAGCATTACAATGGAAAGACATATAATATATATATTTGTTAGTCTTGTGTTAGAAAAAGACATCCCATTTCCAGTAAAAATAACTTTAATTGCCTGATACTCTTTGTCATGCAAAGAAAAATTTTAGAAAGATATCCCGGATTTTGCATGACTATAAAAACTTTTGTTTCAAATATATATAGCAGTACATTGAGGCAGTATAGGAACTTTGAAAATTATGTTCCTTTGCATTGTAAAAAGTTTGTATCAGATCCAGTTCCATGAAAAGTGTACAAATTTAAGGTCAAGTAAATGAATGAATATTGTTACATCCTCCATAATCTACTCAGATTGACTGCATTTTTATTCTGGAACAACTCTGGAAAAACTGGAAAAGCATGTCTTGTCTACTGTTAGTGTACTTTTTAACAGTTTGCTTCTCTGTTAAGACCTTTTCAAAGTTGTAAGAACTATCTGTGGGCATGGGCACTAATATTCTCTTCAGGGTTACATAAAGTTACATTAAGTAACTATGTCCTGCTTCAAACTGAAGAAGTATGGAGTATGTATAAGTGTTTTTCTATAACAAAGTCCATTTTGATGTTACACTTTGTATGCCATAAAGCGAACTACCAAATGCCAAATGTGTACCTTGAGTTTGTTTTCTTTGCTGCATTTAGATACAAGGACAACCAATTGTTATAAGACTCACTTAAGTGGAAAGTTAAGTTACAATGACAGGACAAGCAAATAATGTCAAAGGTATTATTCACTAACTGTCAAAACTAAGCATGTTATAACCACCCTGAAACTTAAGTGGCATCTTCCAGCATGCCATGCCTCCTACACAAAAATATATCACTGTGGACTACCGCACTTTAGTGAAAGGGTGGTTCAAGAAATGCAAGCTAACCAAAGTTTAGTAAATGGTTGGAAGCCCTTGTTTCAGTGACATTACTCTGAAATAGTGCTGTGTTCCTAAACCCACATATAGGTTCAGGTCTGGATTCAAGTCCAGAGATTTAGGTTCAGTTCGGGACTCGTAAGTCCGGACCTACAGAAACCCATGGCATATACAAAATTGCATGCTGGCAACCTTGCAATGTTGTTTCGGCAAAACTTTAATTTTGGCCACATACAAATGTAACATGGAGGCCGACACTTGACGATGCCCGATGGCAATGTTTTCCTAAACATTTTTACAAGTCCGGAACCGGTCCAGCGAACTGGTACACAGCACTACTCTGGAATGGTAGGCATGTTGGCAAGTTTGGAGGTGGAGCCTGCCCGTTTCCTGACGGGGATACGACTCTTGGTGGGGGAGGGGGAGGTTCTGTGTTTGAGGTGGAGGCACCAGCGGTTGAAGCAGTGCTGTAGGATCTGACGAGCCTTCCTCTGGTACAGGTCCTGGCTCTTGTGCTTGTGAGATGCCCACTTGTGCCAGGCTTGGAACACCTGAGGTAGGCAACAAACACCTGTTTATTTACCTGAACTAAACCATATAATACCTGTACTCCTATAATCATAATATACTCAGTACTTAATATTGGAGAATACACCCAAACCTCTGTACTACTGCGTCGAAAGTTCTGGTCCCTTAATTTCAGGGCTGCAAAAACTTCTTGGTTCTTGCAAAAAAAATACAAATAGAAACAGACATTCTGTGATCGACCCTCATACTCCCACTGTACTTTAAAATTTAATGAATCGTGGATGAATCCATGGAGCAACATTTTTACACACATCTTAAACTTAAAGATATCTCAATTAAAAAAAAAAAAAACAGAACTACGAAAGCAAGGACTTTCTACAACTGCTTGGACCAAAATGTGAAAATTTAGGAACTGGTAAGCCCTCATTAAAGTACATTGTACATTGTGATATTTTCTTATAAATAATAAAAACATGAGGCATGCATATCTGATATCTGAGAACCAAGACATGAAATTGGTACAGTTTATATTATAGTCAGTCTTTAGAACAGTCAGCAGGTTGTACACTTGCCTGTGAGATTGTCTGTTTCTCCTCGTGAGCTGTGAAGTTCTTGACGGCTTTCCTCCTGCCCATTTCTTTCCTCCATGTGGTCCACACGCGGTGGTACATGTTGTGTGTGAACTGGAACAACAAAGCAACTCCAGAGTCAGTATCATTGCCTGAATCCAGCCGCTCTACAGATTTCTAAGTTTTCTAACTGAAGAGCAATTGTACATTCATTTATTTATCTATGACGATTTACCACATTTGTGGAAGGATTGACATAACAGGTGACTATCACCTTTTCAAAGATGTCAAACCTGAGACCAGACTGTAAGATTTGAACCACTCACACCGGGAAGGTCCCCTACTCTTTTCGATAAATGTGGTGGGTTCTTTAACGTGCATGGGGTGTGGCTCTCCCATACACGGGACCTCCATTTAACGTCCTATCCGAGGGACATCCCTAGCCGAAGCTAGGTACTCATTTTCACCTGAGTGAAGTGAGGAAAGTTGTGTAAAGTACCTTTCCCAAGGGTACAACTTCGCAGCGCATGTTCGGACTTGTTCGGGTACGACCCGGAATCCAACCCGGGTCTCCCCGTTTCATAGTCCAGTGATGTACCACTACACCACACGACGCCACTTTACGATTATTCAAGATTCACATTCAAGATTATTAGACTTAGTTACAGATTTTGAAAATCACATATTAGGAGCTGGTATACAGTGGACAAGAAGATGAGTAATGTAAAATATCAAGCTAGTATAATAACGAGAAGATAGAAGACTTAGTACAGACACAGAAGGACTTACATGACTGTGAGCAACCAGTGTTAGTGTAGCCTTCCAGAGTCCAGACAGAGTAGCAGAGGGGAGACAAGAGCATTCAGCATCTTTCACTTATACAAAGATATTGTAAATGACATACGCACACGTAGATAGATAGAGAAATAGATGACAGTGAGAGATCAGATGTGTTTTTTTTTAAATATATTCCAACATGTAATCACAAGACGTGGCGACGGCACACTCAAGTTTTTTCAACTTACATTGATGCCACCACCAACACAGGGGACAATACAATACTCATTTTCACCTGAGCGAAGCAAGGAGGTTTAAAAAGACCTCCTTGAGCGAAGTGAGAAAGTCGTGTAAAGTGCCTTTCCCAAGGGCACAAGATCGGTGGCATGTCAGGACTCGAACCCGGGACCTCTTGGTTCCGAGTTGAGCACTGCCGCTACGCCACAAGACCCCACAGATCAGATGTTGTTTAGGGATGTTCCCTTACCAGTTGATCTGCTGTGTAGGCCATGTCCACAGATGACTTCCACGTTCCCCAGCTTCTCTGTTCCGTGCGCTTCTCACAGCTCTTCAGGTACCTACACACCAGGGCTTCTCTGTGCCATGCCTTCAGGTACACATGACTGCAACAATACCAACACAAGGCATTTAGACATTTCAAACAGAAATATTGTCACTGACTTTATATTCCTAGCGTTAAACTAGTAATTTTTTTCTAGTAATCATTATTAGCAGATAGACCTTTTCACTTTAAGAATGAACAATTGAAAACACATTTAACATAAGAGAAAAAAAATCTATCTATCAAAGTTATGAGTTCACTTTCTCAGCTACAAACTAACATAGGAAGGCTTTACTGTCTAATTAAAAGATTAAACCTGATAGTTTTGATGTCTCAATCCTATAGTACTCTCCACATCTGTCAATCCTATACTAAAATAGTTCTGATAACTTATGATATCCTAATACTAAAAACAGACTACAGATTAATTTTGGACAAAATATTACACTTTGGACAAATGTTTGTAGCCCTTCACAGCTTATACTTACAAAGTTGATATTTTGTGACAAACTTGCTTGCCACCCAACGGATCATAATGACCCCCAGCGGGAGGCGTCACGTCTCATTGAAAATCGATAAATCTTCAGATTTTTCTAGAAAATCTGAAGATTGTTTTCAGATTTTAAGAAATATCTTCAGATGGTTTCAAAGAATCTTCAGATGGTTTCAAAGAATCTTCAGATGTTTTCAAAGAATCTTTAGACTGTTTTCAAAGAATCTTCAGATGTTTTCAAAGAATCTTCAGATGTTTTCAAAGAATCTTCAGATGTTTTCAAAGAATCTTCAGATGTTTTCAAAGAATCTTCAGATGTTTTCAAAGAATCTTCAGATGTTTTCAAAGAATCTTCAGATTGTTCTGAAATTGGTTTGAAACAATCTTCAGATTCTTTTGTGACAATCTAAAGATTGTTTTAAACCATAACTTTATAAACCACCATTAAAAATGAAGTTTTGATGACTTACCATAGTGTTTGGTTGTAATGGTGCAGTGCTAGAGCCTCCATATCTTCTTGGTGCCGAGCCTCCTCCCTCCTCATGACGATGTACATCTTCCAGTGACGGAACACTTTCTTCTCCACGCTGCGGAGGTGGTGCTTCTCCGCTGCGCGCTGCCTGGCCGCGTCCACCCACGTACGGAACGACTCTCGCAGCCGTTCCTCTTCCTGTTTCCCGAGAACACGTTCTGCGATGGCGTTCCGTTCCTGGGACGCGCGATACTGCTGCTGCCACGAGAAGAACGCCGCCTGCATGTGGAGCTGGTTAGAAATGGCTCTGGCTTGTTCCGCTGCCTCGAGAAGTCGCCTCTTCCTACGGACGACGTCCTGCCAGCCTCGGAGCGCCCTCCTCTGTAGCGCCGTAGTGGAGTGTTGGTGGACTTGCGTGAGGACTGTGGCTTGCGTTCGCCAGTGGCTAAAGGCTGACCTCAGTGTTCTCTCACCCAGAGCCCGCTCCAAGGCCCTCTTTCTTGCCTCCCTGTCCCTCCGTTCCTGTACACACTGGTGCCAACTCTGTAACACTAGCCTTGCCATCCCCCTCTCTTTCTCTTCTCTATACAACTCAGCAGTCTCCACTGATGCCTGCGCTGCCTTCCAGTCCTGAAACACCCTCTTCTGTAGGGAGTGTTGGCGAAACCTGTCAGCGCGTGCCAACATGGCCAGGCTCCTCCAGGCCGTGAAGGTGGTGTGGAGGGTACGTGAGGTTGCGCGGTGGGTCTGACGGGCCACGATGGCGTGGTGATGTTGGCGAAGCTTGTACTCATTCCTCCAGATCTGGAAGGCCAGGAAAACCTGGAACACACACAGAATAGGTGTCAGCTCGGCTGTTTAACTTTTTAACATATACACATGTACAGGGCTTTTACTTACTTTGTCAATGGATTTGTCAAAAAAAAAAAAAAGGATGTAGATCACCAAGAGTTCACAGGTACGATTCCTCTGTTCAATGTGTTTTTGCCTCAGATTCCATCCAATCTTTTCAAGCAAATGAGGTTAACTTTTGTTACAACAAATCCTACTTTGGTCAAGCATGACTTCTTTACTATATCAAAATACGGCAAGGAGTTTAAAAATTAATGTATATGTAGAATAGGATAGAATTACATGTAAGTTATCTACCACAAGAAGTTAACATATAAGAAAAATGTGCTTCAGAACCTTATATAATACACAACACACAAGAAACATGTACATGTACCTGTTGCAGCTTCTTGCGGCTCTGAAACTGCTTGGCCAGGTTCTTGTGGTAGACGCGAGTCCTGGCCACCTGCAGCCAGCTGTGGAATGTCCTCTGCACCAGCACCTGCTGGAACAGCTGCTGCCCCAGCTGCACCTGCTTGTAGCTGGTCTGCCAGATGGCAAATGCTGCCTTCAGCTGGGTCTGTTGTTTCTATATAGAGCAGGAAAAACTGTTATTAGTATATGGAGCAAGTGTTGATTGGCTTCCATTGAAAGCATTGTGCTTTCAACAGGACAACCAATGAGCGACAGTTTTACATATTTGTTTCCTTAAATCTACATGTGTCTAACCTGTTTGAAGTGCTGATTGGCCACTGCTTCCATTCAAAGGATTGTGCTTTCAACAGGACAACCAATGAGTGACAGTTTTACATATTTGTCACCTTAAACCTGCATTGTGTCTAACCTGTTGGAAGTGCTGATTGGCCACTGCTTCCATGTCCTTGCACCACTGTGTCCTGTGGTGCCACAGCTGGGCATATCCCAGCAGCCTCTCCTTCCTACGCTGATTCTCCTCACAGACTTGGTGCCACTTGGAAAACGTCTGGAAAAAACAAAAAAGTTCAGTTCAGTTGAGTTTAATCCAATCAACTAGCATGTACACAAAAATTGTGACATGAAATTTGTTGAAAGGTACAAAAGTGATATAAAATGCAGCAAAAGAATGAAGAGCTCTTAACATTAAGAATTATCTTTAGTTAAAAGCATAACATGTATCTATAAAACCAAGTTGAAAAAATACGAAACAATCGTGATCAACAGAATTCAGTTGAACTGAGACGGAGTCGGAAAAGAGTCTTACTCCTCAGTTTCAATCATCAGCACACAGCATGAATCTCAACACTCTTATATAAATTCTTGAGGACAGTCTAGAATTGCATATCTGCCATCAGCTGTTACAAAGTGTGTTTTGTAAGTAATAGAAAATTTAGACCAGAAAACTCAAAGATATTGGACAGAACTGCATGCAAAGAAGCTCTCACTCCTAAGGCATTGCCAAAAACTGTCATGAAAGAGGTTGAGCCTAGGTTGAGCCTACATTTTTAAGCGTAACATTCTGGTCAGTTCTCATAACTATTATGAGCACTTGAAAAGTGGCCACGGCTGACAGTGTAACTTCAAGGTTAAATAAAGGTTTAAAAAAATCATACCTTTTGCAACAAGAAGGCAGCCCTGTGCTTCTTACATCTCCCTTCCAAGGCTTTCTGTCTCCAACAGTCAAAGGCAGCCTCCAGAGCACCCCTGTCCTTCCTCCTCCAGTACTGGTCCAGGACTCTCTCCTGTCTCTGCCTGCTCCTCCAGTGATGGAAGGCTCCAGTCACCAGCCTGGTCTTGTGTTGCTCCTGAAAGTCCTGTACCTTACATCTCTCCTGGATTCGACTCTGGGTCACCTCATGCCAGGACTGGAAGCAACTAGACGGGAACAAGACACAGTGCATCAACAACTTTTCCTTTCCTTCTTTTCTCCTTCTTTCTCCCCATTCCTCCATTGGCATCTTTACATCTTTTGACAGACATAACTAGAAGCATATAGACAATAGGCATTGTATTTGCCAAATGTACAAAGTAAAACAAAAGATCATAGACTAAATGATAGGACAAATGAGCATCGTCTTTATCGGAAGTGGTGCAGATCTGAGTTTGAAACATACATGTATGAGAAAATATACTGTCTTGTCAATTGTCAACTTTTGTACATACATGAAAAATGTCAATTACATGTATGAACAACTTTCTTTTTATGTTTAACGAAGGAAAACATATTGTTTTTACTCAGTTTCTTCCTCCTCTTCTGTTCCAAGCACTAACCTCTGACCTGCTTTGACATGATTTGTCGAAGTCTGTCACCATGGTGACTGGTATTGGATTACATAATGTTGCAATTTCATGGTCTGCTCTACTCCTGTCACCATATACTCGTAGTACATGTATGTGAATGTGTTTGAGTAAAAATTAACAGGGCAGACCATGTCCGAAGGTAAACATTATGCATTTGCTTTGCAAATGTTACTTCTCTAGTGTTATTCTTAAATTTCTAAGTATTGTATCATTACCTAGTGAGAAGTCCATTGTTGATGCTGGCCTTGATCCTCTGACTCAGTAGTGTTCTCATCCTCCAAGTGCGGAAGGCTGTCTGCAGCTGGCTCCTCTGTTGTTTCTCCTGTAGGTCTGCTGTCAGCGCTCTCTGTACCCTACACTCCACCGCCCAGGTCCTCCACTGTCTCAGGACACCCTTCATCTTCTGCCTCACAGCCTGCAGGTGCCTCACCTCCACCTGGTGCTTCTGCTGCAGCCGCAAATTCCACAGCTGGAAGAAGTGGCGCCTGAGCTGGTGTTGTCTGAAGGCCTGGCACTTCTCTCTCCTGTCTGCCTGCTCACATGCGACAGTACGCCAGGCTTGGAAATGCCTGTTGGATGGAGAAGTAAAAATTACATGACTATTGTTACAGTATTATTCATGAAAACGGGACTTGTTTCTGTCAAATAACAAACTTAGGTATCTTAATCTCAGCAAAAAAAACTCATTTATTATTGTTTCCTTTAGCAAATTAACCTTTTTCTACACAGAAATACAGTGGGAGTGTGAAAATACTCAAGACCAGTAACAGTAACTGTCAATTTTAAATTGCTATGTCGGTGCCCCAATAAAAGCTTTAATGGTCTGATTTAGCTTCAGTTGTTGCAAATGTGAAGGTTACATGTAGGTACAATGTATCTGGCCAAAACATAAATATGGCAAAAATGACAAGAGGTTTAAGATCATCTTTATTATGTACAAGATGAATAACATAATACACGCATTTTAGGATAGTATGTACTCTCTGGTCCATTCATAACTGCTTGAAACTGAAGAAGAAATTATATGAATTATAAAACTGACTTCTATTCTACTTAATCCTAACCACAGAAAACTACTTCACCTTTTACAGTACAGTGCTAAACTTAATTCCAACACAAAGGGTACCTTTTGAAGTGAACTTTCATGACACTTCTATTTTGCTTAATCCCATACACAGAGAAGTACTCCACCTTTTGACGTTGACGTGCTGGTGGTAGCGCTCCACCTGTTGCAGCTGTCGTGCGCGCCACACCCACACCTGGAAGCACTGCGCCATGTTCTTCAGCCGGATGGCGTCCTGCACCTGCCTGGCCACCCGCTCCAGCTGCTGACTCTCACTCATCACGCCCTGCCAGATCTCCACAATCTTCTGCAGACGACGCAGGTCATTCGCCTGGGGTACAAGAGATGGGGTTAGGACACCTGTTTGTTTGTTTGTTTGTTTTATTAGGTGCTGACTCTCACTCATCACGCCCTGCCAGATCTCCACAATCTTCTGTAGATGACGCAGGTCATTCGCCTGGGATAGAAGCAACGCGATTAGCTGACCTGTTTGTTTTATTATTAGAATCTCCATTAGTGTTCTGTAGATTTAACACTACTGTAAATCATTTTATGTTTGCGATAGCAAATGTTTGCGGTCAGAGGAAAATGGACCTATACATTTGCAGTGGCAGCAGGTGCAGCAATAAGAGAGTAATAACTATGCAAATTATTTGTTCAGAGAAACATTTCATGATTTTGAGGAAGACTTGGTACCTGTTAAGTCTAGACAGATACAATGCACTACTCCCCTGAGTGTATAGTGAACGAGCCCCAGGGTCACAGAAAGTAGGGCATCCGGGGCAGACAGGTCTTCCCAAGGCATAGATGTGGGTCAGAGACATGCCTGTGGACATTCCAAGCCTGTGGACAGAATGCCCGTACCATTCCTAGAATTCTTGCAAACTGCACACGATACTGTACCATTAGGCTCCTTCCTGAGATGTTCCCAAAAAGTTGTACAAGTTTTCTGGTTCCTTTGCACAGACTGGACTAATTCTATATAGTATAATGATCTTGCACAAGATACAATATCTTCTTGGTAGTGTTTCTGTGACTTACCTTGTTCTTCCATGTACAGAAGGCCTTCCACACCATGGTGTCCTGTGCATGCCTGTCAGCCACTCTTCTCTTCTGTGCCTTTCTCCTTCTGTAGGATGTGTACTGTAACCAGGCACGGAGGGAGCCTGACAACACAACTGTCTCCTGTGTAGGGAACACATCAACATTCTCAATCATATCATATAGAATGGAGTACTGCCATCATACTAATAAAGACTAAAATATGTATTGATAAAATACATGTAGACATGTATTGCTGTTGTTTTTCAAGAAAAATATACCTGATTTGCTGATTTTTCTTTGCTTTCAACATACTGTAATTCTTGATTTTTTATGGTACTTTGCAATGTATGTTCACAGTTTTCACGGTCACTTCTGTACTGAGAACTTATCATTTATATTACCCGCTAACAAATCAATCGCCAACTTTCTTTTTTTCCTGCACGTGAACATATAGTCCCGTAAACACCTCTATTTTTCTCAGACCGTGAAAGTTTGCTACCTTGAACATAGAGTGTATTATTACTATTATCATTTATTATTTCTGTTTTATCTAAGACCTCAGTACTATTTAAAAACACTGCTTTTCAGGAATGCCCTGTGACAACAAGTTACACAATCATGAAAACAATGAAGCCAACACATTAAACAATACATAAAGTTACAAAACAACCAAGCGTCAAAACAAAATCGTTAACCGTAAATCGATGTCGTTAAGCCAGGCCATGGTCAGGAGGTCAGAGGTCAGCAGTGTTGTTTCAGAACCTTCTTAAACGACAGGTAAGACGTGGCCACTCTAACTGTGGCAGGTAGGCCGTTCCAGGCAAATGCTCCCCTATACGCAAACTTTCTTCGGCCAGATTCCAGTCGGACTTTAGGAAGTTTTAAAGATAAGTTTAAGTTGTGCTTAGTTTGGTAGATATGAGATGTTCTACAGAACACTTGTAGGTATTCCGGTATTACAGTAAACCGTCCCCTACCCTGTGAGCGTGTGCCTTGAGAGAGTTGTTGGTGGCATGTCTCCACTCCCTGAAGGCATGTTTGAGGTGGATCTGTGCACAGCGCTGCTGTAGCTGGCCTGCCTGCTGTCTCAGCTGTTTCTGTCGACACACAAACTCCTTCCACTGGGAAAAGGCAACGCTCACCGGCCAGTGTCGCCAGCGAAGCAGGGCTGTTGTCAGGAAGTCCTGATAAAAACAAACAGTTTTGGTTTTAAGTCTTTGATTACGTGACAAAAACAAGGATAAAAAAACAAACAACTCGTTAAAGTTAAACTCAAGACTACAATGCGGATACAAACTAGCATGGGTACCATCCATGATTTTTTCGAGCCTTGCGGAGCGAAAATCCAAATGGTATCCAGGCTAGATACAAACTATAGCCTGTATAAAGAAATATACAACTGTAATAGGGAAGCCAATGCAAAACAAGTTATGATAAATTTCAGCATTGTCTCTGGTCCTATGCATGGAAATTATCAGAAAGCCTTTTATGGACTTAGGCGGTAGGATCTTTATCAATCTTAATTTTTGCATACACGTTCCATACAACACCCTATAAAATTGAAACAATCTTCTCTCTATAAAAATTTTTCAAAGTACAAGCTACATTTGTACATTATTATATTTTATTACAGCATAAATAGGAGAAATGTTCCATACATACATGTAAATGCAAAAGATATAAATAAAAGATCGTGGAAGCCTACCTGAAGGTAAGAACAGGGGATGTCCACACCGACAGACTCTGACCAGCCGCTGAGGGTGGACTCTGTGGACTGACTGGTTCTGCGCCGAGGCCAGCCAGCTGGCACTAATGATGAGCAGCTCTCTTCACTCGAGCTGACGTCAGCATCCCACGCATGGCTGGACAGTAGGAAGGAAAATGGTTATCACCTTACAGTTTTAAACAATCAACAACAGTTACAACACTGTAGGAGCTAGGACTTATGAATTAAGACCGAATGAAGGACAGGGACTGCCATTCCCCTGGGTCCGTGTTCCCAAAGTTGTGGTTGAGACAGAGGAACGTTTAATTACCCTTGGATACAATTTTAACTACTGAACAGAAACAAATTCATCTTGTATATAATACATGTATTTAGTCTTTAGCACACTGAAGGCTACCAATTTTCTATTGGTTACAGGGTTAAGCAGAAGGGAGTAGGTTAACATAGAAAAAGGTAACTTGAAGCAAGTCATCACCAGCAATGGTACTCAAGGAGACCACAAACACCTGAGTGTGTGTACAAGAAACAAACATACCAGTAAACACTGTAAATCTTGAAGCAGCTTTCAGTTTGTTTGTTTGTTTGTTTGTTGTTGACAATACATTTAAATATTGTACATTTGGGAATGCATCTGTAGCAGCAACACCTGTGCTGCTGTACAATGTGAACCAGCCACAATTGCCCTGAGGAAGGTGACAGACGGTCACCAAAATGTCGGCTGAATAAAAGACCTGGTTGTGTAAAAAGAGTCTCATTACTCAAGACATTTACCATTGAGGAAAGCGGTGGAAGCTTGAGCGAGTGTCGCTGGACTCGGAAGACGGGTCGGTGGTGAGGGAGGGCCTCTTCCCGCTGTGGAAGCCGCTGCTGTTGTTGGACAGCTCCGGAGCCACCGCGCCGTGGAACCCCGCCCCCTGGAATCCTGCGCTGCTATTGGTGGACCACTGCGGCGCCGTGGTGTTACTATGGAAACCACTGCTCTCGTAGGAGGACACCTGTTTGATGATGATTTATTAGCAAAGGTACAACACAGCCACATGCTGATCTACATCCTTTGTTACCTTATGTGATTAATGTCAATTGCCAATGTTAGAGAAAGACACTGCTCTTGCAGGGAACGCTCTAGTGTCCGCCATGAGGGACATCAAGTGTACCTCACAGGATAATAATTTATTTATTTATTACGATTGACCACATACATAATATACATGGAGGGCATGGTGGAACAGATGCACTTAATCTGGAGGCATGATGATGATGATGATAATGTTACCTATTGTTGTCAAAAGTATATTACACCTGAACACTTACTTAAAAGAATTCCAACACAACATGTTTCATGTAAAACAATACACACAATTACACATACATGTAGGTGTTATGAAAATGCCAGACACAAACAATTATCTTAACAAGGTCCAAATTGCAAGTTGTATTAAAACCCTTGTCCTGCTGTGCGCAACATATGTCGTGCGGCACATACAGTACCATCTATATTAAACCCTGTATAGGTACGATTTGGGGGTATTTCTCGTGCAACGCATCACACCGCAGTGAAACCAAACGAATGCGGAAGTAACTATGCCACTGCAAAATTTGGGGGTCTATGATCTAATTAAGACATGAAATTATTGAAAAATATTGTGCAAGGAATGCCAGCAGGACAAGGGTTAATGACCCTACTACGTTGTAAACAAGCATCGGAATTCAGCCTTGTATGTCACAGCTGCCAGTCATACTGTTGTTGATACAAATAAACCAATTAACAAACAATAAACAACAAATGTCCCAGCAGACCTGTGATGCAGTGGACTCCTGATCACTGCTGGGTACAGAAGACTGCAGGTTGAGGAGGGACTGGTTGAACTGCTCCACAGACTGGCGGAATGACTCCTTGGAGTGGAGGTTCCAGGAACGCAGCATGTGCCGAAGGTGGTCCTCCTCACGCAAGTCACGGAACTCCCTGGAACAACAGTCAACACTTAGATTTAGAAACCAAATCCACACAGAAAAAAAAAAACTCTAGTCGCAGGGCCATTCTGTTTTAAGCATTTATAATCTGGATATCTATAATCTAGGAGGTACACAGATTATTCCAGAGGGAGAACCTCATTAATCAAACCGGCGCGCTGACCGCTCGTGTTTTGTTGCATAACCGGCACATCTGTTTTCTCTGCCTTACAAAACCGGAAGTTCTGCTGCAGTACCAAGGTCAGCCACCAGGAGGCCCATATTTGACCTTGACCTTTGGCATCCTAAGACCTACCAGCATACCAAATATCATCACAATCCATAAAAGCATTCTGAAGTTATGCTGACTACAAATGTGCGAAAACACACACACACACACACACACACACACACAGACGCGCCAAAAAACAATACCTCCATTTTGCATGGAGGTAATCATGTCTAAAATGTTTAAATTTTGCTTACTTTGCGACCTGTTGTGCCTTGAGTCTCTCCTTCCACTGTGACAGAGCCCACCTGAGCAGCAGTTCTGCCCTCTGTTCCTGCAGCATGTCTGCTGACCGGGCCTGGGCTTTCTTCTGTCCTGCTACATACTGTCGCCAGTGGCTCAGGGCATTGGACAACAGCACACGGGCACGGGCCTGAAGAAAATCAAACCCACGTTAGGAGTTAAATGTTTGGAAGCTACATGTACTTTAACAGTAAAGCTTGGTGCATCTACTTTTGTGTTTGCTTGTGTGTTCTTACAAGTAGTTGTTTCCATACATTTCCATATGATAGACACCTCAGGAACACTGACAGGAAGTTATGTCAAAGGTCCCAGGAAAGGTTATCTCCTTTCCTGTATATTTCACAGAGGTATGACATCTTTGAATTCTTTTTTCCTTTGGAGGAAAAGGCTAGGAAATTACTGGTAAAGTAAGGGAGAAGATTCAACACCAAAATTATGAAACACATTTCTAAAATGACTCTTTAAAGATACAGAAAAGTTGTTGTTTTCCTCACCATGTTGCCATGTTCCACTTCCCTCTGGAGTTCCCTGAGCTGAGCCTGCTGCTGCCAGTGTAAGAACCTTCTCTTCAGAGCCTGGGCCTTGTGCTGGATTTCCTTTTCTTCTAACTCATGTTTCCTCTCCACAACTCCTAAACATCAAAACACACCCCTTAAGCAATTTGAGCTAAACAAACTCTTTAAACTAGCATGCCTGTATTATATAGTACCTATCACTCAGAAGAGACAAACCAGGAGGACTGTATTGGGTTTAAAACATTGACTGGTGCAATATTTTTCGGTTGACAGTTTACACAAATGTTCAAATGTTTTTCATGATATTTCAAAAGAATCCCTCGAACCCAGCTCCCATTAAATTTACATAAAAAACTAGAAAGGTAACATTTGCAAAGCAACTGCATAATGTTTACCTTTGCATATGGTCTGCTCTGTTAATTCTTACTGAAATACATTGTATGGTCAGACAGGAGTATAAATCCCACCTACTATAAAATTGCAACATCATGTAACCCAACACCAGTTACCATGGTGAGAGACGTCAACAAATTAGGTCATTGGCCAGGTCAGAGGTCAGTGTTTGGGACGGACGAAGAAGAGGAAATGTAGCAAAAATAATATATTTTCCTTCGGTATTGCGAAGTAAACAATTCAACTCACCCCTCCAACCTTGGAAGGCCCTCCTTGTTTTTGACATGTCGAGTTTGGTTACTGCTGCCTGTTGTTTGTGGTGGAGGTTGACCCTCTGGTGCCAGTGGGAGAAGGCTACGTACAGCTGCTGTCGTCGGAAACACTCCAGGCTGGCCTGGCACCGCTGCTTCCTCAGGACTACCCATCTCCACGCATCCCAGTATCTGTCAATCAATCAATCAATCAATCAATCAGTTAATCAATTAATTAATCAATCAGTCAATCAATCAATCGGAAACACTCCAGGCTGGCCTGGCACCGCTGTTTCCTCAGGACTACTCACCTCCACGCATCCCAGTAAATGTACCTGTCAATCAATCAAATTAACCAATCAATTAATTAACCAATCAATCAATTAACAAACCAATCAATCGTTTCATAACAGCAACTACTAATAGGTATATTACTCAAATGAAGAGGTGGCTTCAAAGCACAGTTTGGATATGACAACTTCATCTTGACTGGCTTCATTAGAATGAAAGTTGCTGCAGTGTGCATCTTGGCAGCTAGGTGGCATGGCTGTACTAAAAGACATGCAGAAACTCATTGTGTCTATACCACCATTCTGTTTGTCCATAAACATGGGAAAATTTTTGTTCTTTCTTTACCAGAGGGTACATTTTGACATGCCAGGGGTTTGTGCAGCAACAAAAGTTGACACATTGTCAAGTACATGTATTGAGACATTGTCAAGTATATGCATATTTAATCTCTCCCAGATAACACCTAAACTGAATAAAGGCCATCAACGTGATGTGTTTCTTACCTGACGATCTCTCTCCTCTTCCTCCTGGCAGCCAGAGGAGCGATGGTTTGAGTCTCCTGGTTGAGGATTCTCCAGGCAGTAAACATTCTGTGGAGCCTGTTCTTCTGTACCACCTGTGTGTAATGAAAATATGAATTTGTAAATATATAGAATCTAGATCTAGAATTAAGACCTCTGACCTTTCAGCACAACTTATAGTTTTACCAAGTTGTAGTTAAGTTACATTTAGCCTGTAGGTATATATAGATAAATGTGAAGCTTGGTCTAGTGTTTGTACGTGTAACACAACTCCAGGAAGACTAGTATGTATAATTTGATTTTTTGATTTGATTTTATTGGTTTACACATGAAACAAAACAGACAGTAATAATACAAAACAATTGATAAAAACAGGTGCAGGAGGAGGGGAGAAGCATGGAATGCTTATACAAGGCCCTCCTCCTCTAAACTATAGGCTACAAAATTAAATATAAATCAATAAATGGAAATAATACAATAGAAAATGGAAATAATACAATAAGGATAATCAAATAATATACGGTATAAATTAATTACAATGATGTAAGGTAATGTAGGTTATAAATACAGTGCAATAATGATAATGATAATAATTAGTATGAGTTAAAATAAGACACTAAATGAAACACTACATGAAACTACTACAGGGGGCTTTTGTAGGTTCGTTTATCATGTATGAATAGATATTCTGTACAAACTAATGGAGATTGATCAAATAAACAACAAACAAACAAACCTGTCTGGCCATGTCCACCCTCAGTCTGTCGTGGTCAGACACTCGTTTAGCCAACAGCCAGGCACCGAACGCCGCTCTGGTCACCCTCTGGTCGCGGACAGGCTGTGTCCTGACTAACAACACCTCCAGGTGCTTCCTATGCACCACAGATCTCCACTTCTGTATGGCTTTTCTGTAGAGGACACAGTAAGTTGATTGGAGACTGGACTGCAATTTTCATGACGTATTTTACCTAGTAAGGCCACACCAATTTAATTTGTTGGTTCTCGGATTTTTTCAGAAAAAATATGAAGAGACAGGGCGAAAAAAAATAAAAATAAAAACAGGTCTAGGCATCCCATTATAGGCTTAAATGCTACGAAATGAGCCATGAAGTCAACACAAAAGGCTGGGTTAAAATTTAAACATTGAATTTTGAACTTTTAATCAAACCACTGCAATGATAGATGGGAAAACTGTAACAACTAGGAAGAAAAGGACTTTCCTCAACTGTTGGGGGCAAAATATGAGCATTTTTCAGTTGATTCAGGACCAGAATCAAATTTTTTTTTTTTTGCAAATCAGAAAAAAACGAAGAGGCGAATCCGAGAGCCAACAAATTAAATTGGTGTGGCCTAATAACATGATATTTTACTGTAATGTTAATTTTCTACCATTGATAATTATGATATTATAAGATAAATCAAAGCAGGATACAACCACAAAGTTCCATAGTCAAATTTGAAAATCTCTACCAGTAACCAGTAACACCTAACTTCAGTGCACAGTCATAATTCTGTATCTGTATCGGTATAACCGCCCTTCGGCGCAACACACTACTAATTACTCTGATAAAGATGACAGGCGGTCATTGAAACGTCGGCTCTTGTTTACCAAGTAGTTGTGAATAAAGAACTTTGCTATTCAATCATTCACCAACCTGATGAAATTCTTTACGGATCTTTGCCAGACTACATCGATAAAGGTTAGACATCCAGGTACATGTAATACCATACGCCAAAAAGCAGTTACTCAAGCAACTGGATATGATTTTAGAAACGTCAGACGTTTCAGCTAGTATCCACTAGCTTTTGTCAGTAACAGCTTTGCCAGACTGTTTATCAATTTCCACTGCTGTTTGCTTGTCTTACCTGACACACTTGAGTGACCACATGTCCCTGGCTTGTTGGTGAGACAGTCTGGACTGAAACTGTGCTCTCCAGTGATTCAGGATGACCAGCTTCAGTCTGTGCTGTCTCTTGTCGCAGATAACTTGCATCTTTGTCCTATAAAAATAGTCATCGTTAAATACACTGTATACATGTACATCATAATGTTTGAATGTCAACTTTTAAGGCACTGAGGATTTCTTTCGTTCTGAAACTATGGTACATTGTTCAAGCCTCAGCAATGTCTTTCTGTAGTTTCCCCACATATTTTACGTTAAAACTTTATAATAAAAAGCCCCAAGACAAAAGTTTTTAACCTTACTCACACTGAAGGATCTGCTTGGCTACTAGTACTACAGAGTTAGGCAACAGGGTTTAAACATCGAAACTTTCACTGGTTAGGCCACACCAATTTAATTTCTTGGTTAACGCATTTTTCTAGAAAAATAATGGAGCGGGTGGGCGAAAAAAAAATGAAAATAAAAACAGGCCTAGGCATCCTATTATGGCCCAAAATGGTACAATAGGAGCCATGAAGTCAACACACCAGGCTGGTTCAAAATTTAAACAATGAATTTTGAACTTTTAATGATACCACTGCATTGAAAGATGGAATAACTGTAATAACTAGGATGAAAAGGACTGTTTCAACTGTTCAGGGCAAATATGAGCATTTTGCAGTTGATTCTGAATTTTTATTTTTATTTGCAAGTCAGAAAAAAATGAAGCGGGCGAATCCGTTCACCAAGAAATTAAATTGGTGTGGCCTTAGCTATTAAAAAAAAAGCTGCAATGACAGAAAATGTTGTATAATTCTGAGAACTTACTTGAGGTCTACCCTATACTGCACATGTTCCCTCCATGCTGTGAAGGATTTCTTCAGCACCAGGCGATGCAACACGTCACAGGCCTGCTCACGGCCCTCCCGCAGCTGTTTGGTACGAGACAGCCAGCTGTACAGCACTCTTCTCTTCAGGGACTACAGGAAATAAACAAACACTTACTATCAATCAAACATGAGTTTTTAATGAATGAAAGACCTTTATTGTACATTTGTTAGCACTCAGGTTTTTCTTCAAGCCCTAGCCTGGAAATTCAATTTAACTATGGCTGGGGTCCCATAACTATTGACATCATAAAAAGTTGTGCAAAGTACTTGCAACAAGATACTTTCTGACAGAAAAATCAAAATCCATACTTGGCTGCAACATGTTTTTAGAAGACCCAAAAAGTCCTCAGCTATAGTTATGTACCACCAGAATGCAGCTTTACAGAAGACATAGCTGTAGATTGTTTAACCATCATGTTTATGAAAGACAATCAGAGTTCTCTTTATCAATTGGTCTTAGGAAAATAGTGAATTGTACCTTTCTGGCCATGGAGTCAGTGATCCGTCTGTACATGAGGTTTCTCTTCCACCGTAACTGCCAAACTTGGAGGGCCCGTCTATTGGGAAACACAAAAATGGGGGTTAATCTTAAAGAACTATCAAAATCACCAGAAAATAAGCATTACAGTCTTTTACTGTTTGAAGTTACAAGGAACAGAAGAAGAAAGTAAAGTGAAAGAAGATGTGTCTGGGCTCAAAATTCAGTTTTGGCAATAGGTGCACCGGTGCACCCAACCAAAAAATTTAGGTGCACAAAAATATTTTTGGGTGCACCATATAAAACAACACCTAATTACAGATCTTACTGGTCCTCTTCTGAGCTTAAATTTCAAATGATGGCTAACTTCAAAATCTTAAAGAAGTACTAACAACAATGATTTTATTATTTTACTGACACTTAGATGTCAAGAATATCTTGTATACTACTAGACATTTGATATGTACAAAAATACCTACAAAAGTATTTGGGTGCACCAGTGCACCCAGAGAAAAAAATTGGGTGCACAGCTCAAATTTTGGGTGCACCCAGTATTTCAAGCCCTGTGTGTGTACCTGACATGTTCCTGTTGTTTCCTGCGGTGTATCCTGGCAGCCTTCAGCTCCTGTCTCCACCTCCTGAAGCATCCCCTGACCAGGGCCAGTCTGTAGTGTTCCTTACACAGGCTGACCTCACGCACGTGCTGCACCTTGGCTACCTGTGTGTACTGTCTCCACTGGCTCAACGACTGGGCTAGTACTACATGGCTAAACATGGTAGGCAAATGTCAGGAATGGGTATTTTCAATTTGCTTTATTATAAAACAACAACAATACATGGTGAGGTATGTATGTATAGCAGAAAATCCAGATAATGCCATGCACCATAAAACACACAATACAACACTACAGCAGCAGATATTCAACTTAGCAATACAATATTTCAAATCATAATACTGGAAATACCGTATGCTACATGTATGCCTATAATGAGACAAGTTCTCTGTAAAGCAGAGCATCTATAGTTGCTCTACATGCTCATCAATGTTACATTGTATTGTTTTTGTATATTGTGATATTTTCCCAGCTAGATATCTTTTTGCACTTTGGTAAAGGAAGCGGTCTGCAACTATTCCTCTTTCCATTAGAAAAACAATGTATGCCAGAAACTTTGATTTGTCCTTTCTTGACACTGAAGAAACTACAATATTTATATCAAGAGTGTTGCTTATGTTTGTACCTTCTGTGGTTTCTTGCTGTCTGGTATTTGACCTGCATGGCTTTCATGTGTTCAAATGTCTTCTTCTGAAGTCTCTCCTCATAGTGAATTCTGTGGAGAAAAGAAAGCAAAATAATATGTTACTAATAGGAACATTCACATAATTCTTAAGAGTTTGAATGCAAAGGTATTTGGATCTACTAAACATACATTGTATTTTGTGTAGATTCAGTCCCATCCTTGTGAAATGCTTGTCAAAAAGAAACCCTTGAGGAAAAGTAAAAGAAAGTACAAGTAAAAGAAAGTTTTAAGAACATAGTTCTAGACTAAGTATTGTATTGTTTGAGAAGGAGGTAAGGGTAGTTACCTGGCTAGGTCATTCTGCCTGTCCTTGACTATTCTCTGTGCTGAGTACATCCTCCAACTGTGCCAACACTTGGTCAGCAGAGTCACTCTGGTGAGGAAAAACAGACATACATGTATGTCATTGTCATTAATACATGTACTTCTTAAATCAATTGATATATATACTATATAGCCATGTACCCAAAATATAACACTCAAGCAGCACATGGTTGTCAATTTTTCAGTGCTGTAATTTTTTTTTTCTTCCAGCTTTTGTTTACTTCAATTTCAGATCTTTTCATCTTTCCATGCAAGAACGTCTCTGTCAACACCTGGAAGAGTCGTCAGTGAACTAAAACTAGATTGGGATCATCGCTTTTTACTTTTCCCACAAATCCTAGTATTTTCCCCCTCACCGTCTTCCCTATGTTTCTCTGTGTACTTACTTGTAGTGTAGTCTGGCCACAGCAGATTTCTGCATAGTTTGCAGCAGGCCCTTCCATGACCGATAGGTACGGGACAGAAGTTTCTGGTCTGCCATGTGAACCATTGCCTTCAACCTGCAAACAGGGATACTAGTCAGTCATCTCTAACTACAAAACTGCAATACTTTTAATACCCCTATACACCTATCGAGTAGCATGCGTAGTCCAGTGGTTATCGATCCTGCCTCTGGACTAAGAGGTTTGGAGTTCGAATTCCGGCTGTTGTCGCTCCCCTGACATGCACGCTACTGTTTAGGGTCTTAGTCCTTAGGACGGGACGTTAAGCCGTGGTCCACTGTTCATTGCGCTTGTCGAAAAGAGCTAGGGGAATTTCCCCGGTACAATGAACCTGTAAATACTGTACATAGTATCTGTCTTCTCTGTCACGGCCAGTGGAAGATTAGCTCTTCAATGAGCTAAACTGTTTCGAGATCACTTTTTTTTCTTTTAATACCCCTAGTATTTCAAGCAACAGATGGCTTTTGTAAATTAACATTAAATGTAAATTAATCACAGTCATTTCTTATTGAGATTTTGATAGATCATTTTGGTGTAGGCTTTAAGCATGATTACTGTAGTTGAACTTCTACCACAAAGTAAAGTAAAGTTAGCATCTCAACCGACCTCTCAGATTCAGACTTGAACTTGTGCCACTGCTCGAAGGCATTCTTCATGATCTCCTTCTGTTTGGACAAGTGTGCTTCTCTCCACTGCAGATACAGATTAAAACACATGTAGACCATGTCATAGACTTGTAATACAGAGTTCAGTAATCTAAAGAAACTACACCTAGGCCACACCAATTTAATTTCTTGGTTAACGGATTCACCCGCTTCATTTTTTTCTGATTTGCAAAAAAAAAAAAATTCAGAATCAACTGCAAAATGGTCATATTTTGCCCTGAACAGTTGAAAACAGTCCTTTTCATCCCAGTTGTTACAGTTATTCTTTCTTATTGCATCTTTCAATGCAATGGTATCATTAAAAGTTCAAAATTCATTGTTTAAATTTTGAACCAGCCTGGTGTGTTGACTTCATGGCTCCTATCGTTCCATTTTGGGCCATAATAGGATGCCTAGGCCTGTTTTTATTTTTTCTCGCCCGCCCACTCCATTTTTTTTCTAGAAAAATCTGTTAACCAAGAAATTAAATTGGTGTGGCCTTACAATTATACCTCTAGTCTTGTTCTTATCTAAAAGATATGCCATCACAATCAAAACAAGCATTTTTGAAAAAAAAATTATAAAACAGATCTACTTTTGAAATTTTAGATACTTGAAAGTCTGTGTGTTAAAGGGATGGCTCTATTTAGAAACTGGGAGTAAGCTTCTTTCATTGAGTTTTGTATACCTTCATCCAAGCTCTAACCAGCACTTTACTGTCCCTCCTGCGACTGATAGCTCCTGACAGCGCCCTCTGCTGCTGGACAGCAAACTGCAGCCCATGCAGGCCCTTCCTCAGCAGGTGTCTGTGGCACAGCTCTTCTGCTGCCTGTCTCTGCTGCTCCAGGTGGTGTCTCCAGGAAATCAGGCACTTGGAAAGTACACTTAATCTCCAAAATTGCACAGCTCTGGAAGTGCGTACAACATTCATTAGGCTATGTACTGGTATTGCACAAGTATGTCAAAGGTTCACTGACTGACTCACACTCACTTTTGGTTTGTCTATTTTCTAAAATCAATCAATCAATCAATCAATCAATCAATCAATCAATCAATATTACATGTATATTCATTCTAATATATAAAACAAAGTCACTAGCAGTTGTATATTACTATACATAATGTGACAAGAAGACTATCACTGGGCTATGGGTACTGTTTATTCCAACACTGCAGTACCACATTTGCCCTCTAGGTGGCACTGTCCAACTTAGGTACATTTTTGTAAGCCTTTTGCCAAAACTGCATGACCTGGCCGTCTGAAAACTTTTAATCACTTTCATCTAGTAACTTTGTACTGATCATAAGTGGCGCGATGAATATGAATCAAGTGTTATGGGACCCTTTTAGTGTTACACATGTCTTACCTTTGCAACTTATAGGCTTCCTCCTGTCTCAACAGCCTCTGTAACCTAACATGCAGTCTCCATCTTCTAAAGCACCTTGCCTAGTATAAAGGAAAAAATGTCAGGCAAGACTTACTAAGAATCAATGTATCTTTACTAGAATACAAAATACTTGGCTATAAGTATAACAAACATTGTATCACAACTCCACTTCCTATACTAATCTTTTCTTATTATAATAACAAGATTAGGAAATGATGATTTTTCAATGTTAATTCAAGGACATTATACAGTATAATGTCCTTGGTTAAATCCTACATACGTACATGAATGTACATGAATGGTCCCCTTTCTACTGCAAACAAATTCTGTATCTGCAAAAAGGACAACGCTAAAATTCTGGTTTCAAAGAGAAGTAATTTTTTTTTTTTATTCACACATTTTTGAGCATTAGATAGGAAGCACTTTTTGTGCTTTTGTGAATCCGCTGCTCATAAAACATAATACAAATGTAAACATAAAGATGACATAAAATATAACATAAAAATAAAAATGAAAGTGGCTGGCGCACCAATGTCTATAGCGTTAATGTGATTGGTCAAATCTTCCAGAGTGATGAATATAGTTGAACACAATATCAACAAGAGCTACCCACCATCCAAATTTCGTCACCCTAGCATGTCTAGATCATGAGATATCAAAACCGGAAGTTTAGCTGCAGTACCAAAACAAGCCGCTGGAGGTTCAAAATCTAATCATTTTGAGGTCTCATCAAGACCTACCCACCTACCAAGTATCAAGACAAGCCATTTAAGCCTTCTCAAGTTATCGTGTCCCGTGACGGAAGGACGGACACACACACACACGACCGCCTCTGAAAACATAACCTTCTTGGCGAAGATTTCTTGGCGAAGGTAAAGATACGGCAGTTAGTAGGGTATGGGAGAAGATAAGGCCTTACCTTGATGAGAACCTGTTCTCGGACCTGTGTGTCTACACCCTGTAGTGACTCCATGAGCCTGATGGTCCACAGTGCGGAGGAGGCTCTACGTATGCTGGGCAGCTGTCTGCTGTGGAAGGCACCATCAAGGCCATGTCTGTATACAGAGGCAGATCAGGACACAGGTGTGAGAATGCACGTAAAGCCTTTTACAGTCTTAAAACAAATGTCAAGCGATCGACAAAATCTTCAAAGTAGTGGAAAACATGTAGAGACTGTGTCATAGTCCAGTGTACAAAATACTGGGCAACCTATGGCAAAAATTAGGTTGCCCATCAGAATTTTAGGTTGCCCCATCAATAAGTTACAACTTTTCTCAAATTAAGTTATGTTACATACATAAGCCTTTGACAATAATTCTAACAGCCTTTAGTTAACTGATACTAGTAATAGCCATTAATACCTAAAATGAAAAAGCATCTGCCGGATACAGTCACGCAAGCCAAGTGGGCATGATTTGGAGGGGGGAGCATTCTTAAAATTCAGGTAGCACACTGGGCTACCTAGGTTCAAAAATAGGTTGCCCCAAGTAAAATTTGGTTGCCCGGGGCAACCAGGTATTTTGCACACTGCAGAGTGCACTGGATATATCTGCACACACAGAGCATACGTATTAGCAGTACTAGTAATGCCCTGTGGTGATCAAAGGGTACACAGAAGCCCCACTCTAAGTCTACAAACACAGATCACATTCCACAGGGATCTCCTCAAAAGGAGTAGCCAGATCCCCCTTGTTACTGCCACTAATGTGGAAAGGATTTTCTCCGGCCCTCTCCTATCTATAGCTTGTTGATCTAGTGGATCAACACGACAGAAACTCTAGCGATTCCCCTGCATGTGTTTTTTTTGTTGCCAAGTACTAGTGGTTGAAGACAAGTATACTGTACCCCCGAATGCTATCTATTCTGATAGTTTGGCAATTTTTTAAACATACAAAGCTTGAATTGTGATAGTAAGTAGTTAAAAGTAGATTTCTAAGGCAATTTATATGTATACAGTAATAGTAGAGGAAACAGTGAACTATCTTATCTAGGGCAGATAAAAAGGTTAGAATAACATAGAACTCTTTAGTTTCTAGTATTCTATCATAACACTAATTGTGATAGTAAGTACTAGTTAAGAGTAGATTTCTAAGGCATTTTATATGTATACAGTAATAGTAGAGGAAACAGTTAACTATCTTATCTAGGGCAGAAAAAAAGGTTAGAATAACATAGAGCTCTCTAGTTTCTAGTATCCTACTAAAACACTATCGCACAATTAAAACTTTCAAAACACACACCAACTCTACCTGTAATCAGTCTTCATACAACACGTCTAAAAATACACCAGACCACCTGATCGCAACTACAGTACTGGAAAGTCGTTACAAACTGCCGGAGAGTGAAGACACCTACTTCAGGTGTGTCTGTATACCTGTCTGTGTTGCCATGGCAACCAAACCGCTGGTGTCGGTAATACCTCCTCAGGGCACTCGTGACCCATCGCGTGGATAACCTACCACATAAAATCGCAACTGTCAAAACTCTTCCAAACAGTTGGTTGATAAAGATTGTTGTTATGGCAGCTTTTGTCGTCGTTATTGTTCCATAGTAAACTTTCCCTTTGAGTAGATTAGTTTTTTGTTTTTGATGACAATTCATTTTATGTTCAACAAGACCTACCCACTTACCAAGTATCCATTGAAGCCTTCTCAAGTTATCGTGTCCCGTGACGGACACATATACACATACACGAACGCCTCTGAAAACATAACCTTCTTTTCAAAGGTAATTAAACTTTGAAGATAACATCTAGGGTTGTATACTGAAGCGATTCTGATCATTTATCCATAAAACTAATTCTACAATCTGCACTACATGTACATCTTATGTCAGTCCCTCTCTTAACATTCTCTTTCTTGAAATGTTGGAATGAACAGTCCCACCCTGATCTAGACTTCAGGAATGCTTTGAATACATCTATGATTACATGGCACATTTTTGTGCCCTGTTTGGGATGCATTGAAACACCTCAGCATGGGTCTTAGGTCTCCCTAAACACTTAATCCTATAACTACGTAGTTTAATCCATCCTGAGATGAGGGTTTGTCTGATCTTAATAATAATATGCCTGTCTGCATGGTGCCAAAAAAGTGAGACAATGTGGGACAGATTCCTAAATAAATTATAATAATGCAAAAAGTTTCATTATCTGTATAGCTGACCTTATGTTCCAAAAATTCTGTATGTTCTCCTAACCTCCTACTTTTCTCAGACGTTCTGACTTATATAGGCAAAATTTTACTAATAATACATGTTTATACACATAATGTAACTCAAACTTTTCTCACATCCAAATGATACAAAGTAACAATTATTTTGATACCATAGAAATATGAAAATACATAACCTGCATGACATGTATAGGTAGAAATCTGATAATATTCTTGCACTGACTTTCAACAGGTTAAAATATACTGTAAGTATTCTTTTCTGTTGTTAGTTAGGAAATCAGTATATGAACCATACATATCATATGTTGCTAACCATCACAAGCAGGCACATCACACTTGCTCAATCTATAATCTGCTTCCGTTCTTAAGCAAAGAAGTAAAGGAATACCAGGACTTCAGTGAGGAAACAATACGGCAGGCCTGAGGGTTGAAATTACTACCACCCCATGCCACCATCTAATTGCGGCCTGAACTCATTCAAACAACAAAGGCAGAAATTCTGGTGCACTCCTTCTGAATAAGTGATAGTCCAATCTTTGTAATTTGATCAGCAAAGAAGATTTCATCAGCAGAATGGGGAATTTTCTGCAAGACTACACAGTTAGTAATGATATGAAAGCTAGGGTCAGCAGTTTATTTACGTAGGTAGTCATAATGTTTCCAGAGGCTTCAGGCCACACCAATTTAATTTCTAGGTTAACGGATTCGCCCGCTTCATTCTTTTCTGATTTGCAAATAAAAATAAAGATTCAGAATCAACTGCAAAATGCTCATATTTTGCCCTGAACAGTTGAAAACAGTCCTTTTCATCCTAGTTGTTACAGTTATCCCATCTTTCAATGCCATGGTATCATTAAAAGTTCAAAATTCATTGTTTAAATTTTGAACCAGCCTGGTGTGTTGACTTCATGGCTCCTATCATACCATTTTGGGCCATAATAGGATGCCTAGGCCTGTTTTTATTTTATTTTTTTTCGCCCGCCCGCTCCATTATTTTTCTAGAAAAATCTGTTAGCCAAGAAATTAAATTGGTGTGGCCTAATCGTACATGTTAAGCAGCAACAGGGATATGATTAATAGCAAAACATAACTTGTCAAACTATATTCTTTTAAGACTTAAACACATCTGACAGCATTTGTCTTCTGACAATCGCTATTACCCTTAATTAGCACCTTTCAAAAGACGCACGGGTGACAAGATTTGAAAAGACAGACAATAACCAACCATTCTTGAATGAACGTCTATTTGGAGTGAGTGATAATGATCATGGGAAGCTGAGTTTAGTCAGGTTCGACATACAACACACCTCGAACACAAACATCTACTCTTTTCATTCACACTGCTTTCCAAGCCAATCACTGCTCTTGACAAATATTTAAGTATGTTCAGTAAATGTTGGAAGCTAATATAAATGTGCCGGTATGCACAAATCTACCTGCGACGAAATAACGGTTTTTCAAATGAAAGTTTGATCATTGTAATGGGTTCCAATTACTGTTGACAGACTTTCACGAGTTTGACAACTTATTTCTATGCTACTATGATGGACAAATAAGACTATTTGCTTTGGCCTGACAACTATGGGGCAAAGATCTATTTACTTTTTCTACTAACAGCAGTTTCTGTACTGCTATGATGGACTATTAAAATTTCATTAGTCAGCACCCCAATTGCTACTCAAACTGCTACATTAACATTAAAAAATCTCTGATTATACAACTAGTGAGGAATGGATAAGAAAATAATGAAAAAGGATAAAAGAAATTTGGCACCCGTGTCTCTGTCAAACAGATTGTTATGAGATGTGATTTTTGTGACAGTTTTGTTAATTGATTAGGTCGTTAGCAGCAACATTAGTTAATTTACTGTTCCACCTTGACACTGTTAACAAATGTACTGTAACATTTACCATAACACAAAGGATACCATTATAGGTAGTGACACTTATTCCCCCAAGATAGTTTACCTTTGACTTCAGTGACTTAGCAATGGATACAGCATGTGCGCACGTACAGACATTCAAGTCTACACACATGTACATTTGTATCTAACGCCAAGAAATACAGAGACAGTCTGGTTTGGGGTTTTTTAAACTGCTATTTCTATCTGTACAGCCTGTATAATTCAGCCTTTTCGTGTAGCACACCAGCTTAATATGGTTGCTATGTATTTACAAAATGTAAGTACATTTCCAACTTGCAACTGTTGTAAAATTAAACTAGCCAAATAAATAGCTTGTCATTGCTGTCCATTTTTCCTGTAAAATATTGAAAGTCTTTTTCAGAGTTGAATCATATTTGCCTACAGGAGGTTAATATTTTTGCCAAAGTCCCCCTTTATGATTATATTTTTGGACTGTTCCTCAGTGCTGGACCCCTCATTATCCCCTACCTCTGCCAATTATGCAAGCCAATTACAATTTAATCAGGCATGTCCAGAAGAGGGAGATTTAAAGGAAAAGGGGGAACCCTTTGGGAAATTAAATTAGGAACCTAAGCAGATAAGCCAATTTCTTAATAGTCTTCCTTGGGGTGGCGGTGGTATATGTCCAGGTCAAAGAACAAACAGAGGGACGGAACGCTTGATTACGGACGGATTAACGGCTGATAGCTTGCCAACAGCCGTTAAAGTCCGGTTGGATTCAGCTCGAAGTTCGGCAAACACCAAGCCGGGCGCGCTGTCTTCCCCCGCAGCCGGAACATTTGATGCTGTCAAGGACCATTAACAGAACTCTAACGCACAATGCTTGGACAGCGACTGGAAACATTTGTTGGGGGATCCCTTGCCAACATATAATTGCTACCTTGTTAGCTTTCCGTGTTACGGTCAAGTGGCAATTAAAAGAGAACGAGTACACAGTGGAAGCTCTTTCTATACGTAT